CAGTACCATAATAGGATTTCCCATCCTCTTAACACTGTCACAGTTGGGGCACTGAGCTGAGAACATACACATACACACACACACAGAGTCAAACATATATGTTTGTTACAGATAACTAAATAAATATGTAATTGTTTGTAATTGTAACTTTTATTTCATTTATTTATTTGTTTTTTACCTGTCTCTTCCATTAAGTTGCAAGCCTCGTGAAAGTAGAGATCATCTTGCTCTTGTTTATACTGTCACATTCCCAGTTTCTTATTTGGCACATAGTATGCTCTTGATAAATTTATGTGGAATGAATGAATGTTGTTTACTTCTCTTCATGATCCTGTATGAAAGTTATTTTTGCCATCTTCATTTAACAGATAAAAAGTTTTCCAGTGTAACAGTGGTGAATCAGTGATTCTAAGGCAAATGGATTTGTTTTAATTAGCTAGTGTATGTTGACTGAACATTTGCCATTTACCTGGCTCTGTACCATCAGAGGAGTAATAGACAGTCCCTGACCTCAAGTAGCGGCAGTCTGGTTGGAGGAAGCAGACAAGTAAATACAGAATTATACTGTCATGTGCTGCATAATGACATTTTGGCCAATGATGGAACTGCATATACAATGTTGATTGTAATGGAGCTGGAAAATGTCTATTGCCTAGTGATGTAACTGTTGTAAAGTCATAGTGCAGCACATTACTCATGTAGGAGTAATAGGCTATACCATATAGCCTAGGTGTGTAGTAGGCTATTCCATCTAGGTTTGTGTGAGTTCGTTCTATGATGTTTGCACAATATTATGGATTGAATTGTGTCCCCCCACCCTCCCAAAGTTTATTGTTGAAGACTTGGTCCTCACTGTGACAGTGTTAAGAGGGTGGGAAATCCTATTGTAGTAGTTGAAAGGTGGGGCCTCGGAGAGGTGATTGGATTGTGAGGACTGTACCCTTGTGAATGGATTGATCCATTCTTGTAGTAATGGGAGTAGTTCTGGTGGCTTTAAACAGAGAGTAAATGAGGAGGTTAGTCTTTCTCTACCGCATCATTTTATGCCTGCATTGCTGTAAAGCTACCACCAGTAGCTTTACAGCAATTCTTTTTCATCCTGACACTTGCTATGATTGTTTTTGTTGTATTATATGTTATGATATTTTTCCTACTTGTATAAGCAGCAAATACGGGTATTTTGTCCCCTAGTACCGGAAGATTTTAAATATCTCATTCGCTAAAATAAGGCAAACAGGGATAGCTTGTAAACAGCACACTTTGTTTTGTCTTGTTGTGCTTAGCAAATATGATTCTATCACAATTTCCCCCTTTCATTTTAATTCAGCTATTTCTTTTCCAGAATGCCTCAAGTCTTGGTGAAATTGTAATGCTTCTAACTTTTCAGTGGAAAGCAGGTTTTCCTCTTCAGTTAGTACAAGTTGTCAGCTCTTTTGTTTTTGTGCTGATACCTTTCTTTTCTTGTCTGGGTAGTATTTTTTCCCCCAATCCAAATATCTTTAAAAATACAGAACTGTCAGTCTATTTCATATTACTGTCAAATTAATACATTACAGATAAACTGCTTGTGTAGACTTCGAAAAACTACTTTACCTTTGTCTCTTCATCTTTAGGGTGGAGGGTGGTGGGATTGGGTTATTCTGAGTTCCCTTAGGCAATAACTTTTACAACTTTATTTCAAAATAATGGAGATCAGAATTGAATGTGCTTGTAGCTCTTAGGTAGTGTTGCCTAGGGTGTCCTAGAAATGGCCATAAACTAATGGCATCATTAGTAAGAATCTTCCTAGTTTTCTTTAGATAAGTTCGTTGTCTGCTGTTGTGTCATAGCTGTATAACTTTGTGTGTGTGTGTGTGTACTAACTGAAAAATTAAGCAAAGTTATAGTACAGTAACTTGGACAACTGAAATTTTCAATAAATTTGAGAAGACAAAATTAGATAAAAAAGTTTTTTTTTTTTAACTTACAAAAATTCTGCTCAGTTGCTTTAGGCCAAAAAAGGTGTATGTGGGGTGCAGGGAGTGGTGAGGTGGGGGATTTAAAAAAAATTTTTAATTGACACGTAATAATTGTACATATTTATGGGATACTGTGTGATATTTCAGTACATGCATGCAATGCGTAATGATCAAATCAGGTCAATTAACATACCCATCACCTCAAACATTTATCGTTTCTTTATGTTGAGAACATCCAAAATCTTCTCTTCTTGCTAATTGAAAGTATACAATAAATTGCTGTTAATTATAGTTATACTGAAGGTGTTATATAGAACACTAGATCTTATTGCTCCTGTCTAGCTGTGATTTTGTGTTTATTAACCAACCTCCCACTATCTCCAATTCCCCCTACTATTCCCCACTTCTGGTAACCACCATTTCTACTTTCTACCTCTATGTGATCAACTTTTTTAGCTTCCATATATCTTATATTTAGAAAACCCTAAGAGCTTCACCAAAATTCAGAACTGTTACACCAATTCAGTAAGTTGCAGGATACAAAATCAACATACAAAAATCAGTAGCATTTCTATACACCAACAAACAATGAGCTAGCAGGAAAAGAAACCAAGAAAGTAATCCCGTTTACAATAGCTACAAAAGAACCCTCCAAAACAAAAGCTAGAGATGCGGGATTATAATGGCTCATACAATCAGGAAATATTGGGGATAAAGTAGGCTTTGCAGGCCACTAGAACTAGACAGTAGATATTATAAGGGGTGTGACATTCCACCTATTTTCTCGCATTTTAGCTTCAATTTCTCCTTCTACCGATGTGTTTTCTCCATGTGTCAAGAGGCTTGATCATCAGTAATTCTCAGCTTATCTCCTCATAGCCTTGTAGGTTGAGGTCTTACCAGCTAGCTCTAGTTTATGAAAAATAATACTAGGTCTTGATTGACCTAATCTAGTACACATGTTTTGACTTAGTCTAGTACATATACCAGAAAGGAGTGATCGGGTCATCAAGCAAAGATCCTTTACTGGACAAACAGAAAACACCCAATATTGGCATTTAAAGAGATCAAGATTTGAACTTATTCAAAAGTAGACCAAAAAGTCCTAAGGATCATAATTTTTAAGATTTTTTTCGTATTACTTATATATGCTTGCAGCCTTTTGCCTGACCCACGTTATAAAAACCATACTCTCTTTGTTCATATATTATAGATGTGTTTCAGTAGTTAGTTGGATTAGTTTTGATTTGGGTAGTTCTCTTTGTGTGCACATAATACTGTATTCTGGTGATTTTGAACTTAGTTCATTCTGTTCCAAAAGAAGAAGGGCTTTCATTTGGATCCAAACAGCTTTATAGTCAAATGTAGACAGAAGGTATCTGCATATGTATGAGCTCATTGTTATTCTTCCTGTGTTTTTAAAATGTTTTCTCTCTGTTTGTACTTAGACCACACCCTAATGAGTCAGTATTTACATACTAAAATCGATAAGTAATATGATTAAAGTTAACTCTTGTTATTTTATTATATAATGTCTAGTTGATTCCTCTTTCTGCAAGAACTTGGGAAAAGAGGCTAATATTCCTTTAATTTGACTCCTATTTAATGATTATTCCTTGGCTCTGATTCTTTAAAATCTAGATTCAGTTCAGTTCAGCCAACATTGTTTGTACTATGTTCCTACTTATGCTCTCAGCACTGGGATTATGAAGAAGAATAGAAAGTTATTTTCCCCAGCATGAATTTACAGACAAATAGGAGAAAATTTCACTACGTTATAATGATGTTAATTATTTAATTTGCTCTCCACTGTAATTATGATTCACTTTTTTTTTTTTTTTACATTTAATGTTTTCCTTGAATATAATTTACTTGCAGAAAGATGACCTTATCATAAGTGGGCTTGATAAATTTTCTTAAACTGAATATGTCTGTGAAACCAGCATCCAGAATGATTGTTTTAGATACAACAATATATAACTAAATGCATAATAGTGAGAATATTGGAAAAGGATATTTTGCTGTCCTCAGGTGCTTTTGTGTGTGAGTGTGTATGTTGTTACTTCAGGGAGTTTTTGCTATTTGTTGCTGTGACTACTCTTTCTTTTAATAAGGGATGGTTTCTGTGACATTCTAACTGAATGCTAGAATACCACTGTACTGAATGAAGTGAAAGCATTTTCTCTGTTGGTGTTAATTTTTGCAGTCATTTATTTAAAAAGAAAAAAATGCAGTGGGATAGCCTGCTATTCCAGATGATTTTACCATGTAAAATTTCAAATTTTGAAGAGAATATGGTATAATTAAAATAAACATTAACAGTATTTCTTTGGAAATGTTTCTTGTGATGCTTATACTGGTTTTTATTATTATGGGTTCATGTAACTCCTCTGATATTTGTCATACTTCATTCTGTTGAGTACAACTAGAGTAAAATCTTTATGAATTCATAGTTGTTATGGAATTTACATTTGTAGCTTTCTGTGAAGAGAAATGTGTTATGAAAAATTAATGTGAATATGATTGAAACTATTGCACTAGAAACAGACTTTTTAAGTATCAAACATTTCAGAGGCATCTATTCCTGAGTATGTAATTGATATACTTCAAGATTTAGCATATTTCCTTGTACATATTACATGCTCAGTAATTGAAATTTGTTATTTAGATTTTAAGATATTATCCGGTTTTAACTCAAATGTAACAAATCCTCCCAATGTGAATTTTACTGAATATTTTGAAGGCATTTAATTATTTGTGTGTGTGTTTTTAATCACCTCAAAGTAACATTGTTTACATCTTTCTAACATGAGGATCTGTATCATTTATTCATTTTGAGACTGTAGGAAAAAAGGTTGACTTGATTTTGAAAGGTAATAACATTTGAGAATGTTAAAATTGTCAGCAATTAAACAAATAAGAAATATTACATGCTTATAGTAACTACTCTGCAGTAACAATTTAAATTTATTTTCCACTAAAGGTCTGTATTACTGTCTCATGACTAATAACATAAATAAGGAGAGGGTTTTAAAAAAAAACAAAAAACAAAAAAACCCTCAGGATCTTAGCACGTTTGATGGGGTAACTGATTGAATGAAAGAAGCTGGATGAGAAACAGAGATATGAGATTTCTTTGCAGTAAAGTGTTTAATTATTATGTACAGGAACTTTAACGTCATATATTGATGTTTATTCTTTTAAAGGAGGGTGCATCTGCCCGTAAGACTCAGACTCCTGCAGCACAGCCAGTACCTAGACCAGGTAAAAATATAAGACTTGGGTTTTTGTTTTTTCCAAATGATCATAACAGTGAAAGTTGTTTGATATGTATAATGCTTTTAAGAAATTGAAATTTTACTTAAAATACATTGAAAGGTCATTTTTCTTCAAATAGACTGTCAATATTGCTTAAGCAGATGTCTAAACTGATAATATGAATTAAATGCTTGCTAACCTTTGGTTAGCATCATTAATAAATCTTTATATTCGTAGCAGAAAAACATAAAGAAATTAAAATGAAAAGCATGTTGAATTATTTATTTTCCTGTAGTGCATTTAAACAGCCTAACTGGATTTTGTAGTATTCTTTACCATAATAATATTTTCCCCAATTTTATTCAAAGGTCATTGATAAAATAGGTTATATAACACTATGATTTTTAATAATGAAGTTATGCCGTAAGGATGTTTACTTGAATAAATAGGTATAGTTGAAGATTTGAAAATTAAGAAAATGTGTTTTATTTTTTAGAAAATGTTTTAAAAGGCTATTTATGTGTAAAGTTCCATATTAGTACGTGTAGGTGTGAATTTTCTTCCGACAGAAGCACAGAATTATAATTTTAGTAGACTTATGTGCAGCTTTGATGCTTAAAATTTCAGATATATGTGTTATTGAGCACATAAAGTTGTGTAATCATTTTTTAAAAATATATGTTAAGCAAAGGCAGTATTGAAGTTGTTTTATAAAGATTTTCCCCCCCTTCCTGGTACCTAAAAAGATTAATTTTTGTAGATACATGTAGATACCAACACTATATTTATTTTAGGTGTTTGGGGATGGTTTGTTTTATTTTTACCTTTAGTGTAATTTCAGTGCTAGGCTATATCACCTGTCTTTTTTTTTTTTTTTTTTAACCTCATCACTGCTGTTGAAAGTGACTAGGAAGAAAATGAAAAGGGTTGGAAAGACACAGTTAAGAATTTAACTGGGGCGGCCCGGTGGCACTGCTACAGTGTGCCGCTTGGGAGTGTGGTGGCGCTCCCGCCGAGGGTTCGGATCCCACATACAGACCGGTTCCCGCTCACTGGCTGAGCGAGGTGTGGGAGCAACACCGAGGGTTGCTATCCCGTTGCCGGTCCCGGTCCGGTACGGGCGCGACACTGAGGGTTGCGATCCATTGCCGGACACGAAAAAAGACAAAAAGGAAAAAAAAAAAATAGAATTTAACTGGATGATCTTCCTCATAAATTTGGCAGTATTAATGGTGCAGCTTTGGTTATCTTTTCATTCATAGTATGCTTAAAATTATGTAGGTTATAAATATTAAACATCCATGGAAGCACTTCAGAAGTGTGGTATTAAGATTACATGGAGCTTATATTGGGATGATTTTGCCAGCAATTTCACTATGTCCTGGGTCCATACTCCCCTTTGATGTAGCTACTATTTCTTTTTTTTCTTTTTTTAGTTACAGTAGTTTTGTTTGAAATCTTTGTCATTCCTGTTTTTGAGGAGGAGTGGAGAAGGGTGTGCTCCATCAGCTGTGTTATACTTGAAGCAGATTGGATGTAATTTGTTTCAAATGTCAGGACTGTTTTTAAGTAGAGATGACCATATCAAAAGCCATTGTGAGAGCATAAGGAAGAACAATTAAATTTAACAAATATTATTTGAATGCTTCCCATATACTAGGCTCTTGGCCAGAAGCTAGAAGAAGCTAAAGGAGCTTTTTTCAAGAAGGAAGAAAAAAGTGAAGGAAATAGGGATGGGCAGATGGGATTGAGTCCAAAGAATACTACCTATGAAGTATAGGAATGTCGTGGAGGAAATTGAGTCACAGATACAGAATTGTTTTGTTTTTCTTTGTAAGGGAGGGATGGAACGTTCTGTTTGGTCAGTCTAAAGAAAATCACATGAGAAATTCAAAAATGGAATAAAAGGGGAGAAACCACCACCTGAGGATTCTAACCCAGTTTTGTTTCCTGTGATGTAAAACTGTCTCTATTTCACCTTTTCTCAAAATCAGTATAGAAAGGAAAGGGATGGAGGGAGGCACTGATATCTAAACAAACCATTTTGTTCATGTGTGCCTTGTGATAAAATGAAGTTAATGGGGCTGGATTCTACTGGCCAGTTAAGTGATCTCAGGGAAGATCTGTATGTAAAGTAAGGGGTTCTGAGTATTTTCATCTCTTACTGTCCTGTCATACTTTTTCAATTGCTCTACCAAGGTACACGGGGGTTAAACTGATGGAAATTATTCTGAACAACTGTCTTGTAATATCTCTTGTATTCTGATGCCCATCCATGTGAATTTTTCTCTTTCTTCTTCCACTTAGCTGCTTGGCACCCATAGGTTCACAATTCTTACCCACCATTCTAAATGAAATTAAGTTTTTAGCTCTCATTTGGCAAAAGACTGGTTTGAGTGGATGGGTAGCAATTTGAAGTTTTTATTCGCCCTGATTAGTGTTATGTATTTTTATTTTGCTGCAGAAATGTTAAATGTATTTGCTTATGGGGTGCAGCCCAGTTTTGGAGAGATATTATTGTTTAATATTTGACATGTTCCACCTGCATTATCTTTTTTTTTTTTCCTGTCCTTTTTGAGACCGGCCACACCGCGCTCAGCCAGTGAGCGCTGTGAGCACACCGGTCATCCCTATATAGGATCCGAACCCGCAGCGGGAGCGCTGCTGTGCTCCCAGCGCCGCACTCTCCTGAGTGCACCACGGGCTCGGCCCGCATTATCTTTTTAAAATCTGAAAAAATATGAATGCCCAAAACATACCTGGCAATGTAATATGATAGATGAGGGATTATAGAATCATATTGTTACTTGTTGGGGAGAATTTGGATCATTTAGAAATGGGGGGCTGTACCACCTATTCTCTCCTTGAGTGAGACACCTCAAGGATGGAGTTCCATTTCTGAGCATTTTAAGTTTTTCATCATCAAATATTTATTTAGTACTATTGTGCCAGCATGTCCCTGGGTAAATTTAACATTTTAAAGTGTTTACAATTAAACAGTTTAAACCTCTAAAAATTCCCAGCATCTAAAAATTCCTTTAGGGAATATAACTAACAAGAAGCACATGTTTTTCTATGGATTCAGAAATACAAGCGTTTGATAAACCATAGTTCATTTCCTTTTTATAGGCAGATTATCTCTTGCATTTATTTCTGTCTTTTTTTTTTTTTTTTGTCTTTTTGTCTTTTTCCGTGTCCGGCAACATATCGCAAGCCTCAGTGTTGCCCCCGCACCCGACCGGGGACCGGCAACGGGATCGCAACCCTCGGCGTTGCTCCCGCGCCTCGCTCAGCCAGTGAGCGCGAACTGGTCTGTATGTGGGATCCGAACCCTTGGGCGGGAGCGCCGCCGCGCTTCACAAGCGGCGCACTATCCAGTGCGCCACCGGGCCGGCCCTATTTCTGTCTTTTTTATGCATACACAATACATACGTTACTTTTCCAGCTTTAATTCTTTACTTCTAATTCATAGATCTTCTGAGATGGGTAGGTGGCCTATGATGCTAGTTTATCTGCTTAATATGGCTCATGTGAGATTGAGAGTTAGCCCCTGTATATTATATACAAATTTCTTATGCTATTCAGTCATCCCATTTATAACTTAGGTGATGGTTGGAGTATCACACTCGTTCCACAGTTTATAATCTATGCTAATGATTTCCAAATTTGTATCTCCAATTCAGACATTTCTTCTTACCTCTGGTGTCTTACATTAATTGTCTGTGTAACATTTGGATATGACATAGGCATGTTTAAAGCAAATTAAAAAAAATTTTTTCCCTGATATTTTTCTCGAGATCTCTTACTCTACACTCTTCTGCTTCTTCATAAGTGGCACCACCAAAAACTTTTATTACTTAAGCCAAAATTTTAGGAGTTATTCTTCATCACATTTTCTTATTCCCTTCCTTATTTTAAATGTCAGTGGGTTCTGTCAAATTTACCTTTTCTATATCCCCAATTCATCTATTTCTTTTTATCTTCACTACCTGCATCAAGTCAGTACCATCATCATTTCTCTTCACCTGTGTATCTTAAAGTGTGGTCTGCAGGCCATATCAGTCTGTGACCTTTTTTATTTCTGGTTCCTAGTAAGGTACATATAGAAATTGAGGGTAAAATATTGTCATAGCATCTCAGTGCATGATCATCTTTCTGGTAATTCATTGTTACTGTATTTTATTCAGTTGGCCTTGGATTGGAATTTTTTAGAAAACCCAACAAAAAACAACTCATCCTTAAGCACCTGTAGTTTGAGTAGCACCATTGTAGACTTTTGCAATAGTCCTGAGTTTTCTGCTTTCGTGCTTGTACCCCTTTTGAATTCCTTGTCTAAATCTGTTGTTTTTCCCTTAAAGAAGGTATGACATGAAAATCAAATCATGTCATTTTTCTGGCTGAAAAGTTATAGGACTTTCTGGTGGCTGTTAAATATAAGCTTAACATTGCATGAAAGGACCTGTATGAATTGGTCTCTGCATATTTTTTTGATCTTCGTCTCCTGCCATTCTTCCTTTCTATGTGGTCTACACATTTGCCTTGTTTCAGTTCCATAAGCAAAGCAGTTTCTTTCTGCCTTTGACATCTGCCCGCAGTTCTCCCTCTTGTCTGCACCGTCTCCCACTTGCTCTGTGCCAGCTAGCTTCTTTCCATCCTTCCCGTTTCAGCTTAAATGCCACTTTCTTTGAAAGGCTTTTTCTAAGCGTTCTATCTAAAGGACACTTTTCTGCCAGTATACACTCCTTTTGTTCCTTAATATGTGTTATACATATAAATATATATTCGTTCATATAGGTGTTTGTATATTTGTTTATGGTATGGCTCCCCTGCTCTACTGAAAGCTTTTCAAGGTCAGGGTTTACTTCTGTTTTATTTGCTATTTAAGAAGAACTTAGCAGAGTGACTTGTACATAGGCCCTGAATAGACATTTCTTAAAGTGAAGAATATAATCATATTTGAAAATAAACAAAGCAACAATAATACTTTTTCTTATGGCTTTTTCTCAGCTTTCAAATTGGCAATCGGTGCATTTGCTTAAGTAGTGGCAGTGGTAGTAGAAGCAGCAGCAGTTAGCATCAGCTGTAGCTACAGGGTTCAGTGTATGGTAAATATATGCCAAGACCTGGCTAAGGACTCAGCATGCATGATAGTTTTTAAAATTCTCACAGCAATATCAAGATGTAGATACTGTTATCTCTGTTTTACTGTTAAGGAAACTGGAGGCTGAACAAAATTAATCAGCTTGCCAGGGTGATTTGCCTAGGGAGTGGCAAAATGGAGATACAGACTTAAATCATCTTTACAGACCTTTGCTGTTGATCATTCTGCCATACAGACCCCTTGTGTTACTCTGCCTCCCCTCCTTAAAATCAGGCTCATCATTAGCATGTTCATTGCAGTGTCCCCACCTTGGACCTTAATGTATTAGGGAACCTGTTTATATTCTGTGTAGTTAGTTTTTGCTAAACCTCTAAACTTTGTTTTTAATGAAGGTGTGTACTTTTATATTTTGCCTTTTTCTTGCATAGAGACTTTTCAGCCTTGATTTTAGTGTTTCCCTAAATTTCTGAGCCCATTTGTGGGTTCCCTTAACAAATCAGTGGTATTTCAGTTACAGATTTCTTTTTTTTGTTGTTGTTCCTTTTAATCATTCTCATAGCAACTCCTGTCTCCTGTTTATCTATTCATGTCTCTTAGTATCCAATCATCCCTTTGTTCTCCAATAAATATCAAGTATTTGCTGAAACTGTATTATATTTCAGATGACACTGTTTAGCTAATCGGATGTATCCATGAACTCCTATTTCTTTTTTTTTTTCCTTTTTGTCTTTTTTCGTGACCGGCAACGGGATCGCAACCCTCAGTGTTGCGCCCGCACCATGCTCAGCCAGTGAGTGGACCGGTCTCTGCATGGGATCCGAACCCTCTGCGGGAGCACCACCGCGCTCCCAAGCACCGCACTCAACCGAGTGCGCCACCAGGCTGGCCCATGAACTCCTATTTCTAAAAATGATTTAAGAACGATTTGATATTTTTTTTCAACAAGGGGAAAGATGAGAAAACTATAGTAAATATGTGTGTGTGTGAGCTTGTATTTGTGTATATAGTTTTCTGCTTTATGTGGCTAGAAAGATCATACTGCTGAATTCTATAATATATAACTTTGTCACAATGAAATAGCTCTACAAAGAATTAGTTAAAATGTAGCATTTTGCTGTCTTTAAAATGGAACATATTTCAAAAATGTATGTGCTGTCTGATTCTCTTTAAAGGTGGTATCTGTTTCTGAAAACTGACGTTAAATTAAAATTTTAAATCTTCTAATTTTTATTTATTTTTGTGGTTAAAAAACAAAACCCCAGCACAGCCTGTGGTACATGAAAGGCAGTTGATAAATTTGTATTGTATGGATAAATACTGAAAATTGAACTTGTAGCATTTTTAATGCTAAAATGTATTCATCCTGAATTAGGTTATTATTACCATTATGCCAAAAAATATTTCTGTGCATTCATTATAAAGTCCATTGTATATACTCATAATAAAAAGATACGAATATTTGTGTTTTTGTAACATCAGTTATTAATAGTATGGTCATTTGCAGGTAATATAGACCTTCACGTATACTTGATTTACTGCATTTAATGCTCTCTTCCTCTCCTAATATAAAGCAAAAAACAAATTTTAAAAGGCAAAACAATAAAAAAAGGTAATATTTTAGGTATTAGCTTCCAGTAACACTTTTCTCTTCCTTCTAAAATTGCTTCCTCCCACTTCTTCCATCAGTGTCATATACTGTTATAGTACTTTGTTTTTACATTTATTACAGTGGTAATCAGTTTATTATGAAATTATTTTCTTCTTTTGCTAGACCTGAATATCCATGAATGTAGATACTGAGTGCCTGGCAATGTAATATACAGTAGCTCCCCTTACCTGTGGGGGGTATATTCTAAGACCCCTAGTAGATGCCTGAAACTGCAGACAGTAACTAACCTGATTGCCGTCAGTGAGAACAAGTTTCTGTTCATGTCCTTCATCCACAAGTGTAATGCCTTTTCCATCTTATCATGCATTTATCATGCGCAGTGGCCCTGACTTTCAGTTTGAGGTGTGACAGCAAAACTATCAGAAATTTCTTTTTCCTTCTTCACAGTTTCATGGATAGAAGATTCATTCTTACCAAAGATCTTAGCAGCCTCAACATTGTTTTTTCTTTTTTACAAGTCCAGAACTTTCACCTTTTTTCTTAAAGGAAACATTTTATGGCTTCTCTTTGACATATCTGAATCATCAGCTTCACTTCTCTTGGGCTTTGGGATCATTATTGAGTAAAATAAGGGTTACATGAACACAGGCACTGTGCCGTTGCTACAGTTGATCTGAGAACCAAGATGTACTCAGTGACTGACTGACTAACTGGTGAGAAGTGGATGCAGTGTGAATAAACTGGACAAAGGGATCGATTCACAACCTAGGCAAAATGCGGAGTGGAGGCAGCAGGAGATTTCATCACGGCTGCAACGTTAAACTTATGAATTGATTATTTCTGGAGTTTTCCATTTAATATTTTTGGACCACAGTTGACCATGGGTAACTGAAACAGTGGGAAGTGAAACCATAGGTAAAGGAGAGGGGACCTACTGTATATCCACTTCCCTTGTGACTGTAGGTTGTTGAACAGTGCTAAGTCATTTAAATAGTTTTGTGAAGCAGAGAAGTAATAATATCGTTTGAGAAGATAGCAGCACTTTTTAAATTTTACAACTGAGTTGTAGGTGAATACAAATAATTTTTAGGCCTTATTTGTAGGTTTGGAAATAAGAATATTGTTTTTATAACAATTGTGATTTTCCTCCCTTACAGTTTCTCAAGCAAGGCCACCCCCAAATCAGAAGAAAGGTGAGGTTGTGCATGATTTTAAACCTAACTTTAAGAACTAGAGTGAGTGAACAAGATTGCAGAATCAGGGCTGATATTATGCTTTGTGCAGCTGTATCAAATGTTTGTGCTTGGTATCCTGATTAGTCAGTACGTAAGTCACACTGATTATTAAATATTTTTAATGTCACCACTGTCTTAAAATATTTTTTAGCTCAAAAGAAAGTTATAACTCTACCAACTTTTAACATTTAGTAGGGAAAATAAGCATATTTCCTTTTAATATTAATAAATATTCACTACCTTTAAAATTTTGTCTTTATAGGATCTCGAACGCCCATTATCATAATTCCTGCAGCTACCACCTCTTTAATAACCATGCTTAATGCGAAAGACCTTCTACAGGACCTGAAGTAAGCAATTTGTTAAACTGTTCTTTTCATAAGACACTGAAATATCATTGAGAAGTAGTAGTTACTGATTCTTTATTATTTATTTGGAAAAAACAAAATTTCACTTTCAGAGCTATAATCTTTACAGATAGTCTGAAGTATAATTTTTAAGTGGTTTACATGTTTCCTAGCAGCATTTCTCTTTATATTAATGAGTATGAGTAGGCATTCCACAATTAACATTATGACTATTTTTTGAATCTTTATAGTCTTTTACAGAAGAAAAATGGCAATGTTAATATTGTTTTAAATAATTTTTAGTAGTTATGCATTAGCAAGGTTTAAAATGAACCATGATTAAGTGATTTTAGAATGCTGTCAAGTTTATTAGACCCAGCATGGCAAACCATGAATTTTTCTCAATAGATTAATTTTCAGTCAGCTGATTATTAAAATGGGTAAATATTTCACGTATTCAGTTAAGCATTGCTGGGTGATGTAGGGTTTTAAGATAGTTCCTGATGTCAGAATGCTTTTTTTCCAATAGAGAAAAGAAAATAATTATAATTATAGAAATTGTAATCAAAATTATAATAGTAATATTATAATTGTAATAAATATAATCAAGAAAATGTAAATCAAAATTATAATATATAATGTTTTGGGGGATAAGAGAGGTGGTGGTGTGAGCACTGAGTGGAGAGAAGGGGGTTCGTATATTCTGCTATAACAGTTTTGTAGCACTTGGTACTTTCTTAGGGTATTTCTTATAGTATTTCGTATTAAATTGGAGTTGTTATATTGTCCAATTGTGTTATGTACCTGCTGATTTAATCTTGGTGTTTGTTGTAAATTGGAATGTTGCTCACTAATCTTAACGTGGCTTTATTTGAAGAAATCCTGGATTGAAGGCATGCTCTTCCAGGGTGATTTTGTGGTTGCTTTTGCCAGGTGCTCCAAGAATATCCCAAGCCTTAAGTTGGTTTTTGTGTTAAATTCTCAACTTGAGGATTTTTGGTGCAGCAAACTGGTATAATCAGACCGAAGTGGCAGTGGGATTGGCTTTTGGCTAACAAATTGGGGAGCCCTTTTTCTTCCTCTGCTCCAGAGCTAGATCAAGATGGATAAACACCTCCTTGACACTTGATTGGAAGTAAATTTTTTCCTCCTACTTCATCCTTTCATTGCTTGTGTGGTTCTTCTATGGTTCCAATTTTAGCTCCTTTGTGTCTCTCCTTTGTGTGGGTGATAAAAACCAAGTCTTGAGAACGCCTACACTGCAATACCAGTGGGCTTGATTGGTTGTCAGTTTTTTCTTCATTTGTAGCTCATGACTGTTTCCCTTCTAGCTCAACTATGCATTTCCGGTTTATGTTGCATTCTAGCATTTCTAGGTGTTTAAAGTGGGAGGGTTTTGTACTATCTGGCATACTGCATGATTAAAACTAGATGTTTATAAGTATATTTAATATAGTAAGTCTGCCGGGGCCGGCCCGGTGGCGCACTGCTACAGTGCGCCGCTTGGGAAGTGCAGCGGCGCTCCCGCTGAGGGTTCGGATCCCACATACAGACCGGCCGCTCACTGGCTGAGTGAGGAGCAGGGGCAACACCGAGGGTTGCGATCCCGTTGCCGGTCCCGGTCCGGTACGGGCGCGACACTGAGGGTTGTGATCCATTGCCGGTCACGAAAAAAGACAAAAAGACAAAAAAAAAAAAAATATATATATATATATATATATATATATATATAGTAAGTCTGCCAAATGTACATTAATCTGTTAAAGCAACAATAGATTTCTCAATTCATGTTTCTTAATTGTTTGAGTTGTACCTGAGGAGAATTAAAAATGCAGAATATTTCATAAAGTATTTTCTTAGTTGGCTGTACATAGGTTGGGTGTGGGATACACTTAACATGAGAAGTAGGTTTTAATTTTTATCTAATCAGTCATGCTGATGCCTCAGCTATGAGACAGATTAAGATGAATGTAGCCATAATTCTCATATGGGGAGATTGCTGTGTATATTGACTTTGTTTATTCAACAAACATTTGTAAAGCAATAACTAAAAAACAAACTGCTACCACAAGCCCAGCCTTGTAGGAAATCACATGATAGTGGTTAGGATAGTGTGTTAGGAGTCATAAATTACAACTGATGAGAAATAAAATTTCTTCTAGAACTTAGTGTAATACCCAGTTTAATGCCTTATTGTTCAAAGTACAGTGAAAAATATGTCCTTTGACAGTTTACATCCTGATAGGTTCAAAATCAAAATTAGACCTCAACAATTATCAGCCATTGAAAGCTTTACCTAGCTCCTCTCCCAAATAATGTGGTGTTAGGGAGAACATACATAATAGTGATTTTTTTGTAATCTAAACAAATGCTTGAAATTTATTTTCTTTTACAATTTGAGACCTAAAAAGGATGTAAAATACTCGTAGCTTAAACCCATTCTTTTTGGATGAAATTACTGAGAGAAAAAGCCTTAAAGGCTATTTTAGCCTTTCATTTTTAACTCTGCTTGTTATAGAGCAGAAAATAAAACCAAGTCTCTTGATGACCCATTTAGTAGCCTTACCCTTTGAACAGTGGAGACATTCAGATTAAGAAATTGGGTTTATTCTGACATTGTGTGATACAATCAAGAACAAAACAAAACTCTTCTACAAAGTTCAAGCGCTAAGTTTAGTGTTAGAATAATTATAATATTTTATAATGTAAATGGTCTAATGTTGAACATGTCTTGTTAAATATTTTTAGTGGTAACTAGCTGTATTAGTCCATTTTTGTGTTGCTCTAACAGAATACCTTAAAGGAAAGAGGTTTATTTGGCTTACGGTTCTGGGACAGCTCCATCTGGTGGGGGCCTCAGGCTGCTTCTGCTCACAGTGGAAAATGGCAGGCAGCAGGCAGACGGCGGGTACAAGCGGATCACATGGTGAGAGGAAGCAAGAGAGAGGGAGGTGCCAGGGTCTTTTAAACGACCAGCATTAATCCATTCCTGAGGGATCTGCCCCCATGACTCAAACTGCTCCCAGCACTGCCACATTGGGGATCAGATTTCCACGTGAGTTTTGGGGGGACAGTAACATCCAAACTATCACTAGGAAAATACTTTTATTCATCAGTATAATTAATATCCAAAAGAAGAATGTGAATGCTCTGGCTTCTTTCTCACTAAAGTTATGATGACAATTCTTTAAGAAAGAAAATTAAAGCAACTTCACCTCTAAAAGGAAAATCATACCAGTTTTAAATAACATGACTGATTGAAAACAAGCAAAATAAGTTGCACTACTTGCTGATTTCACGTTTTACTAAAATGCAGAATTGAGTTTTAAGTGCCTCAAACTTAAATAACTTTCTTTGTAAAATCTAAGTATCCTGACACATAAAATCATACATTGTTTTGTTCTTGTTTTTAGTACTTTAAAATGACAATTTTCAATGAACCTTTTTCCATAAGGAATTTTTTTTTTCCTTAATTTTATTTTGTCGATATACAATGAGGTTGATTATTGTGGCCCATTACCGAAACCCCCCTCCCTCATCCCTCTGCTCCCTCCCACCCGACAATGTCCTTTCTGTTTGCTTGTCGTATCAACTTCA